AAAAAGGAAACGCTTGATTTATGAAATACTGATACGTTTATAAAATATCCAATTCAGCAGACATTTGCACCAGGTGTTTGTAATCATTGATCTATTCTGATCAAGTAGTTGATGTCTCCCCTTAGGACTCTATGACAACTATCTAAGATTAAGAATGTATAAAATTACTTGTTTGCAGTTTGGAGTATAGTATATCTTACATAATTGCCATGAACTGCTAGATTTTTCTCTCAATGATTTCATTTATTTATTTATCTTATTTTTGTGTGCATGGGGGGGTACACATACCACAGTGGACTTGTGGAGTTCACAGGACAGCCTGAGGGAGTCAGTTCTCTCCTTCCACTATGTCGAGTCTAAGGATCAATCTCAGGTCATCAGACTTGACAGCAAGCGTATTTACTCTCTGGGTCATCTTGTTGAATGTTCCATCAATGTTTTAATGTTATCGATTGAATTTGGTATAAAAATCATTACATTCAATTCCTTTCTTATTCTTGTTTATTGGTCAATAGTGAGAAACTATGGTTTAACATGATTTGATTTGACGTTAATACATTTTCCAAAGGTATGCATGTGATTCAAAATCAGGAAGCTACTTAGATGGTGGTTGAACCTTTGTCTTTCCCAAAGCTGTGTGATAATATTGACCTGCCAATACATTTAAAAATTTGTAAGTGATGAAATTATGTTTTTGTGTTGAGATCAAGCACCTACGGTGGGATATTTCCAGTTACTATTTATTCAAATTCTGATCTTCTGAGTTGTCCTTGGTAGCATCACTAGGTTCCTATCTTTTGATTTTAAAAAAGGAATTTGGGAATCATCTATGAATAGCTGACCACACTTTTAATTCTCTGGGTAAATAATTTGAGCCATTGTATTTAGACTATTAGAGTCTCAGACTGTGTCATGTTTATATTTGCATTATACCACAGGGTTTGGATTTATAGTTCAGTGCTTGTTGACTATAACTCTTACCACAGTTATATTATACACCAATACTTGGTATATCTCAAGCATTATAGACTTGGGTATCTGTCTCTTGCCTCAGTTTGGACAATGTGGTAATAACCTAAGCACCAGTTCATGCTCAACCTTCAGCAAGTTGGTCAGTATACATTCTCCTTGATTCATAGAAGCAAGGGCCTGAGCAAAATCAATAGTGTGAGCATCTACAAAGCTTCCATTTGTGTCAATGTTCTGTTGTTTCAGAAGAAGTCATGCAGACAAGGCAAAAGTCAAAGCAGGGTGGCATTGTGAAGTTCCCCTTAAAAGATGTTGCTATAGAGGGGAGATGTGCAGCTATCAGAGCCATAAGTTCTCTGTGCTAAAAGACAGAACTAAGCATTCACAGAATGGCAACAAGATCGCTGTACTGATGATCAGGCGTTAATGGCCCTGAGCCTTAGCACTGTTTGTTTTGTTCATGTGGATAAATTTGGTCATCACACTGGATTCTCATTTCCTTATTTATAATGCTCAAGTTTGATAAACTTTTCATTGTATAAAATCAAATTTTAGTGTGTTAAATTCTTAACATAATCTGGAGGAGGAACTTTAGAGAAAAGTTGTTCATCATCACTCTTCAGTGACTCAAACTGGCTAATGTAAATAACCAGAATTCATTGGCAAATTTTGACTATGAATTTACTAATATCTTATAATCACATTCAAACTAATAAACTTCTAATCTGGATTTGAGTATGACATTTAATCTTGCCTTAAATCTTGAGTTTGGGATCATATCTGGTGATTTGTTTGAAGAATGTAATGTATCAGTATAATGTCAAACACTATGACACCTCATATGTGAGATGAGTTAGAGGGACCTGGTGCTGTGCCTTAATAATTCATTGTGAAGATGAATGATTAGTCTCAAATTAGCCAGAGAAGCTTTGTCAAATTTACAAAATGTTAATTAAAATGTGCGTGAATTTGGACTATCTATTGTGATTTCTTTTATATAAAGAATACAAATACTATGAAATTGATATCTGGTCTTCATCAAACAATATGCATTTATGTGATTTATGACAAAATGCTGACTGACTGAGCTATGAGAATAAAAAACGGTTAAGAGTGTTATAAATACAAAATATTTTTTAAACTTTGTAAGGAAAAATATATACAAATAGTCTTTGAATATGAGTTTCTTGTCTAAAACAATTGTTTATTCTAGTTAATTGGATACCTTAAAACATCTACACTTAGATTACTAAAATATATTGAATACCACATGATTTATAACTTCTTTTGGCATATAGAATGTTCTCTTTCAGACATGCAGAAATGACTTGCCATATGATAAATGTTTATCCTTGTCATGTCTCTGGGAGGCATTTATTTAGGGCTAATAATTTACTTGGGCATGTCATTTCAGAGTCACCATGTAAACATATCCAAGAAATTTCACCCAAATCAAGCTGGCCTGGATTCAAGATTACCAGTTGGTTTTCAGAATGACTTGGCTGATGTGGAGACACAGAAGAACAAGCGTAGGCCACTGCAATAACAGGCACCAATGTGACTATGGGTCAGGTAAGCACATGACAGTGTTTCAACTACCTACCTGACAAGGACACAATGCACCATTTCTTGCCCTTATTTGGTTTGGAGCACACAACTGAGCCAAAGTGACTATCCTATCTTTCACAATAATGATAGTTATTATCTGTGATTAGATTTACTTTCCTCATTTATGGTATTTGTGGCAAAGAAAGATACTCTTTTTAAGACTACCTTATTAGTATAATGATAATATTTTTATGTGTGTGGTGTATGTATGTGTTCATGTGGGTGCATGTGCACATATGTGTGCATGTGTGTACAGGTGAGAGGTCAATGTCAGGTATCTTCTTTGATTGCTCTCCACCTTGTTTTATGAGATAGCATCATTCACTGAACCTGGAGCTCATGAATTTTGCTAGGCTAACTGGCCAAAGAGCTTTCAGGATCTTCCTGTCTCTGCCCTATCCAGTGCTGTGGTCACACACCCATGTCACTGCTCCTGGCTTTTTGTAGGTACTGGAGATCTGAACTAGGTCCCTTATGCTTTCACAGAAGGCACTTACTGACTGAGCCATCTCCCTAGCTACAATAATAATACTTTGATATTTTTATTAGAATAAGCAAGAAAGATTTATACATTGAAAAGAGGATAAACGAATTGAATTTTATTTTCAATTTAAAAATGATCAGCTAAGTAGTCAAATGCAGATTTGAATTATGAGAGTTTAGTATATAGAGATGATGGTCTGATGTTTCTCATCTCTCCTGAGGACAAAACAAGAGCAAATGGACTTGCAGAGTTGCTGATAGCATTCAATTATGCTACCGAGACTAACGTCCATATGGTGGGAATCTGGCATGCATTAGCAAGGGAAATAAGAATTTTCTTTTTTGGCAATATTTTAGATACACCAAACCGGCTCAATTCCTATTACACATATCTTTGAAACTTCATATTTAGTTTCTAGGAAAACTGAAACTATTCTTAAGCATATGTTTTTTTTCCCTTCCCCCTCCTTATTTGGCTTTGTAGCTAGTGCACTTCTTTCTCCAAGGACATATAAAAGTCAAAAAACCCGATCTAAAGTCTCTGAAGTGTTTCTGCTCCAAACCCTGTCTATACAATCTGGATTCTTTCATGTAGTTAGCTTACTGGCTTCTGAAACTCCTATAAAAATATCCCATAGAGCTTTTCTTATTACCTTTTCATTGACTCTCTCCGAGTGATAAAAATGAAATTCTGTAGAGGGCTTTGAAAACCATGAATATTGCAATTCCTCCACATTTCAAATACTAATCAAGTGTGACTATAAAAGAAACAACCACTGCAGTGAAAATTGCAGCAGCATGTTGAAACTCAAGCTATTATTAATTCATTGGAAACTATTTTTCTTTAAGATTATGGATCCTACAAAGTACCAGATAACACAATTCTCGAGATCAAAGTTTTTGTTTCAATCACAGGGAAACTTGTTATCTAATCTTCCCAGTGTGTGCATCTCTGGGATAGCACAGCGGCTGTCCCAGTTGTGCCCTGAGTGAATAATGCAGGCTGTTTTATAGGGTAGACCCTGGTCTCACATACTGCCTGCAAATGATGACTTTAAGGCCAAGCAAGATCTTGGATTAAAGTAATAGGTCTAAGTAAGTGAGCTTCCTAACTTCTGATAAGAAAGTGAATCAAGGTGCTAGAAGGATGGCTTAGTGGTTACGTGCTCTGGCTGCTCTTGGAGAAGATCTGGGTTTGGTTCCCAGCATCCACATGGCAGCTAATAACCATCTGTAAATCCAGATCCAGGGGATCTGATGCCCTCTTCTAGCCTCCGTTGGCATTGTATAACATGGGTGCACTTTCATACATGTAGAAAAAACACTCATACAAATAAAATAAAAATAAATAATAAGAGGGTAAAGTGAGATCTCATTTCTTAGGTTACTTTCAGCATGTGCTTACTTAAAAATTATCCAGTATGTGTATCTGCAAAGTATTTTTAAATTTTCCTTTCCATCTTCAAAGACAATAAAGTAAGAAATTTTTTTATTATGAATTATCACTGTGGAACAGTTTTATACATAAAATTAAAAAGGAAAATAGAGCACAAATAAAATTTCTCAAACTTTGGGTTTATCTTGTAAAGACAATTTATGTGGCTTCATTTTCCAAAGACCCTGACTAATTGTACTCCCACTTACCATGCTTGGTGTGGGTTGCTATTCTTTGAACATGCAGCAGGCTTCTTTGAGTTCAAGAGGAATCGATGAGACCCTTTCTAAGTTGCACCCCCTCCCCATCTTCTTTCTTTTGACAGGCCTTGCTCTGTGGCTGGCTTTGAACTCATGATCTTCTTGTTGCATCCCTCCAAATTCTATAACTATGAGCCTATATCACCATGGTGGCTTTCTCTTTTTTTCAAATGCACAGACATTTTCTAATCACTTTCTAAATTCTGTTTTGGTGAAAGCAGCAGTTGTAGATATTTCTGAGCATACTCCAGACCCAAACTAAAAATCAAAAACTTACAAAACCTCATTAAGACAGAGGTGCTGTTTTTCTGGTCTTGTTTCTTCAGGATATTCAGATCTATTCTATCAGTTACAAGAGGTGGAACTCTTCAGATATATATCTAATGATATTGTTCAGGAAATTCTTTAGCTAGAAAGTCAGTGTAAATGATCAGAAAAATTTCTGTAAGTGGCTGAACAAAAGCTATGAAACTCTGTTGCAGGCAGGGTGGAAGAAACTGACTCCGAACACTTGTCAGCAACAATTTCCCTCTAAGAAGCTGATGAAAATGCTTTACTCGATTTCACAGATGCCCTTCTGTGGGTTCTTAATTTACTCCTATAGCTTGGTGATTCTCACATCATATTTTAGGAACATTATCATTAACCCTCCATGTTGTTCAGTCCGTAAATAACTAGGAGTGCAGTTCTCTGAAAGTGCAATGAAAAAGTGGTATGAGGGCAGAGTTCAGACCTCTGTAGTCTTAGCGGAGACTGCTGGCCTTAAAAATTGGCTGCTCTACTTGCTAACAGTGGACCATGAAAAATTTGTTACTGTCTGCCTGTAGTTGTCAAATTGGGTTCATAAGCATGCTACACTATAGTCTATTTTGAAGATCATGTTAGATCAAACAGGTGAAAGTTAGTTTAGCACATGAGAAACTCCAATTAAGCTAGTGCTATAATTAACTACTGACTCTGAATTGATTGCTGGGAAAACGTATTTTCCAACAACATCTCTAAAAAGTTCTGATGTTCTGGCTCCTGTAGTCACTGAGTCTCGGTGTGATTTTTTTTTTTTCTTTTGAGAATTGTACCCTTGGGATTTTCATGGCTATGGACACTGGAGTGGAGATGCCCTCCTTGACTCTGCTACTAGCTCCTGAATCTGAGACAAACTGATTATAGAGATACCTGATGACCTGATTCCAGCTGTGGTACTCTCTCCTCTTCCACCTCTGTAGCAGCGATAGCACATGAAGAGCTAGGTGCTTGATAGCATATGAAGAGCTCAGTGCTCCACTGTTTAATCAGCTCAAGAGCTATTTTAAGTAGGTGACATATGTTAAGTGGAAATGTTTGCATTGAACAGTTTGTTGAACATCCAGTTCCCTGAGTTGATTTGCACATGGAAAGTTGATTGGGAAGTGCTGTCAGGAAAAAACACCTTCAGCAAAGTAACAGAAGCAGGTTTAGGCAGAGGGAGGAGATGAGTCATGATACAGTCATAACAAACATTTCAGGCACTCTTTCAGGCAGCTCTGCAGTGGGCAAGGCACTTGGAAGGTGACTTGAATTGGGGCAGTCCTTTATACCCCCCACATCCATCAATCATTGGATGCAGCTGTCCCCGAAAAGGGCTGTGACTGTGGATAAGGTGACTTCTTTCAGCCCAGGGCAAAGTCATTTGGGATAAGAGGATTAATATTTAGTTGCGAGGAGGATCTTGTTATTATGTGGGTCACTCATTAATTGCTTCTGGTGATTTGCCTGGCTGCACAGGGGCCAATTTTCCCTTTCTTCCTTATGTGTCCCTCTGGAAGCTGAAATCTTTGCCAGAAAGTATAACTTTTAAACATACCTACTTGTTTCTGCCCTACATAAATGTTCTCTATTGAGCAAATTTTATAGTCTCCTGATTTGGATTCTCTAATCCAATTTCCTTTCTTTTGACTCTTTAGCCCTGTTCTTTGAATTAGCCTTTGTCTTCAGACTAAGTCTGCCATCACTTGCCCTTCATAGATTAGACTAGTGAACCAGTGATAGAAGCACTGAGTCAGAAAACAAAACACGGGTATTTTAATTTCTACACTCAGCCCTGCCCAATCTAAATGTGTAGTTTTTGCACAAGCCATTTCATTTCCAAACCAACCTAGGAGGTACTCTTCATGCCCGTCAATTTTGAGTGATTTTGATTCAGTGTCCTGTACTAATATAACAGAGCATGGAGGTAGTTGTCCCCAAAGTGTTTTATATCTGAATAAGAGTCTTGTTTAGGTGATTCTTTGGATCCAGGATCTTACTTGCTTTGATAGATTGAACACCTGAGAGGAAAGATGGTCTACGGGAAAGTTCTCCTTAAGGCTAAAGAAGGAAAATAAAGAATGGATAAGAAGGAATTTAAGACGTCTTTGTATTGAGTTTAGTCTGATCTAAATGTCTATTCTCAATCAGACTTTACTTTTAGGATAGGAAATGGAGCATATGTGACTTCTCTGGAAAGACTATTGTGAAGACTGGGTGAGGTGGGGGGTTCTATATTTAAGACCTTGATTGAATACCTGGTTATATTCTATTTGGAGAGGATAGTTCAGGTATTGTTATCATGAAAAGTTTTTGTTGTTTCTCAATTTTAATAAAAGAGCAGCTCAATCATTTAGTGCTTTCCTATAGTGTTCCAAGTTCATAGTTTTTAATCCCAAAACAGGAAAACATGGAATTTAAAAATATTGGATAATTTGAAATTGACAACCAACATCTGATTTCTCTTATTGATGGACCATATGCTAGTTATGCTCTTATTTTTG